ACAATGCGGCTGATCGCTGTATAAACAGAAGAACAGAACAGTAAATGTTTCAATTTAATCGAAATTTTATAGCGACCATAACTTCAGTAAATGGTGGTACTCAGTTAAGTCGTACAAAAGATTAAAGACGGCAAAAAGAGATTTATAACTGCATTTCGATTTTACAGCGAACACGATAGGGCAAATTTTGTAAATGCATTAAAAATTTGCAATTAAGCGATGTCGCTAACCTCGACTGAAAAACAATGCGATGTAGGGTATTAATAAATTCAACATTGACAAAGACCGCCAAAACACCTGGACGGCCGCCAGACGAGAAAAAGACCGGCCTACGCTTCGTGCCACGTCGTGGAACAATGCCTGTGACGTGACACCCTGCGACTCGTCCGCGCGCCGCTCAAATGTTGCAAATAACAAGCGGAACTGAAACGAGGAACTTGATCGTACCATAACATCCGAATACACAAACGATAATCGATTAAAAAGTTTTTATTAATCTACATTACATTTTTACTGAATATGAAACAGCGTTTATCATGAGCGTGACATTTAATGGCGTTTTGAAATGGAATCTTCTTTGAGGTTATGGTTGTAAAAGTCTGAAATACAAACCTCGTTATATGTGTTGCGTGAATAACGGTTCATATCTACTTTAAAGTTTTGAACGATGATTTGTTTTCGTACGGACTACTTCCTAATTGCACAATGAACTACAACTGCCACAAAATGAGTACATAAACCAAAACACAATTAAAAATAGTTAAATATTTGAATCTAAGAATTAACTTTGTCCTCTTAACTGGTTCCTGCCTTTCCCTATGAGAAAAAAAGACGTAACAAGTCAAGCAGTAAATTAACAGTTCTACGAGGTCCTTCATCTAGGTAAACAATGTTTTTCTTTAGTAATTTAAATTTTAGGCCACTTTTGTGTAAGATTCATAAAAAAAGAACTATGCCACTATTACAAATAACATATAACACTAAAAGACCGCATAAGTAAGGTATGTTTTCCTCCCGCATATTAACCCACCTGCTTTATACCACCATAAAAATAAATATAAAATAACCCTGGGTTTATCTTAAAAATGCATGTCGGAACTAAAACCATACTTTGTAATCAATACCTTTTCACATACTGGCTCTCTCTTATCAAATGCTATTTATAACTATTCATAGAGTCTGGTTAATTCCTTTCCAACTCTATGTAGTCACTAGGGGATTACCACTAGGTAACTACAGCTACTAAGCTGTAGTAATGACTATTCAATGATCGATTCGGCTTTAGAAATATCGTCTCCATCTGTTCTGATCTGTTTTGTGACAGCTGCAAGCTCAGTAGAATTCTCAGGCTCGAATCCTTGGTCTGACAAACAATTATTCTGATTTAGTAATTCTTATCTATATTTTGAATAGCACAAGAGACTATTTGTTGCTTCAGAGTCATCGATATAGTATAGCTGCGTAATTTTACTTCTTTGGAATCTTTTATCGCTATCTACGAACTGTGCAACAATAATGGATGTCTATGATTTACTAGTACCTAGGTAGCTAGGTAGCTAGGTAGGTAGGTACTACAAACAAGCGTCTCCGTCGTCGCGAACCGTAAACAGGCCAGTCATAACTTTACGAGCGCCGTCATTTGGCATGCAAATATATTTATTGTTAACAATGCATGTTATATAACCCGCTTATCAGCCAACCGAGAAGCAAATTAGTATAATCTACATCAATATAATATTAATGCACAAATCACACGTATTTCACAAAATGAGATACCTGGCTGATAATACCTTATTAACTCAAAATGAACATTAATTACATTAAACATTCGTAAGTCAGGGAACACCTACAAATATGTCGGCTTTGATTCAAGGACGAGTTTACTCATACTGTAGAGATTAACTTATTGTATCGTGTTTTTTAATGAAAGATCCCTTTCTAACCTAATACTTTACAAGCTATAGATAGAGTTTAGGACTATATGATGAAAATCAACATTACTTCTTCAACACTTACTACTAACTTACATTGCATCCAAAGAACTTAAATGAATAAAACAACCATCTATAAATATATTCAGATGTAACGATTATACCTAAGCTGATAAGAAAGATTTCGACTCGCTAGAAAACAATATCTTCTTAACATAAAGACTTCAACATTCTATAACAAGACTATTACCCGTCTCTTTGGGAAAAGTACATTCTGCAAATAGCTAACTTCCGAACTAACATAAACACACATGTAGTAAGTAAGTGGATCACACCGGAAAATACTGAGCGGTTACGTAACCGCTAGGACGAAGGGAATCCAATCAAGTGCAAGTTTACATCGTGAGGCGTGACATGCTCCACTGCCACTTGGACTACCAGCACGTAGTTTCGCAACACTACCTTATTTGCCTACGACCTGATAAACTATACTATTTCAGGGTGCCCAGATAGATACTGAATTCCCTCAAAGCGATGTATATAATTAGACTTCTAGTATCATGTTCATTTTTCACTCGATATGTTATTTACAAAACTAATACTAATGATTGAATCTACGGGATTGAAACTTGACCTTTTGGTCATACTAGTGGCTTAAAGAATCTTCTAGCAATTTAATGGTAGGCGACTGCCACTAAACTTCGGCATACTGATTAATTATAAATATTAAGTATGAGAATTTAGCGATTAAGAACAATTGGCCTCACAGAAAACCGACGTGAAACAACGCTTGCGTTGTGTTTCATCGATTATGTGAGGTTACCGGAGGCCCAATTACCCCTCTCTAGGAGAACCTAACGGGTTACCGGGGCTCCGGCTCGACGTGCAGGAGAAGGAACGGGGTGGTTTTTAGTCAGTAAGAGTCTGACACTCCCTCTCGCCTCACCCAGGCGGGAGCAGTCATTCGATGATTTTCCCCTTAAAAAAAAACAAGCCCTCTCTAGTCCCCGTCCTCCGAATCGTCGAATCCTCCACAATTCTCAAATTCCCAATTCCCAAAAGGCCGGTAACGCACTTGTAACGCCCTGGTGTTTCGGATGTCCATGGGCGGCGCCGATTGTTTACCATCAGGTGATCCGTCTGCTCGTTTTCCGGCTTATGCTAAAAAAAAACTCGTGGATGTTTTTTGAATAACAATAACAAGTCCTTGTTTAAATCTTGTGTTATATTCTAGTACTGAATCGAGTACTAAGAATACTCATAAGAATTTTCATTCCATCAGAATGTAGGAATGAAACAAGTGCTTATTATCTAGGCCCGCATGCCGGATGTTTTTAGAATCTATATTTAATTTAATTTTCCATTTGTGATGTCCTCTTACTCTTTACCGTGACATAGTTTTAATTTTATCATTACCGAGAAATATTGGATTTATTTAATGAGTTGGAGAATGTTATAGAACGCTTAAAGTTAATCTAGACCTCTGTAGTTGGTAATTACTTCGATTCCTGTAATAGGATTATTAATGATAGTCAAAAAGTAGAGTCGATATAACATAACATAATATCATGATTTTATCCCCGAGGCAGAGATGCACATTACAGCACTCAGTGGCTGTGTACAATGTAACACCCACTTTTCACTATTTCACAATTCCGGACTGCGTGCTACTACTGAAAAACCTAGTACCTAATACTTTGCCCGAACCGGGAATCGAACCCGAGACCCCTTGCCCGGCAGTCGCACTTGCGACCACTCGGCCAACGACGCAGTCGTTAGTCGGAGAGTCGATATAAATATCGGAAAATAAAAGAAGTAGACTACTTATAAGACAGTCTACCGGCCGGTATTCTTACTACCAGACATTTTTTTAAACTTTGAGTCTGCTACTGCAAAATATATTCACTGACGTCCAGTAAATATAAGTAGTTGCAGTTTTATTAATAAACCTAATACTAGGACTGTATGTAATGCAATTCTATATTAAACAGTGGGATTATCACGAATAAATACTACCGAATAGGATCGTGCACATCCCATGTTGGATGTGTTCCAAACATGTCAGATAGTAGAAGGGCTCTACGTGATTATCTACGTGTACTATATTCATCTATTCACATTTAACATAAAAATATATCGAATTTATAAAACAAGGTACCAAACGGTTAAGATTTCAAAACAGACAAAGCTTTACTTGAATGGTCAATGAAGGCTGATTAGCGAAATAAATCATGAAATCTGTAATCATTTGTCAATAAAGGTGCGCTAACAAACAACATTGCGTTTCTCGAATTGGGTACAAACTTGGTATTACCCATACAACCCGATAAAAGCCGATCGTTCTGAATGGCATTCGAATCAATTTACCGTCGGTACGCAGCGGCGTCTCCTTACGATTCACTCTATTTGTGTACCGCGACTGACGTTACGATCAAATTAAATAAATCCCCGATGTTGCACGCAAACCACGACCTGATGAGCACTGTCGATAGCTTGCCTAATTTACTGCTTGTACTCCAGCAGTTGGTACTTATGTGAATGCTCTCATCAAAATATCATCACAACCGTACTAAAACGAGGACAAACAATGTTACTTTTTATTTAGTGTACATTTTGTTTGTAATTATGTGTATCTATCTATCTGTGTAGATGTTGAATAATTGTAGTAGGTATGTCTATTTTGATTTAAACAATAACCGGATAGGAAAAAATTACACAATGAAAATTAGGGCCATGGCGTTACTTGCGGTTATGTGCCCTTGAAAATTAATATCTTGTTAGCCGTTTATTCGCTTTTGTTACAGTCACTCTGAGTAGATTTGCGAAAGTCAAATGTTGTCTAACGATTGGGCACGGCAGGCTCTGTCACGCAAGCTCGACACGCCGCACGCCGCATACAGCACCGAGCATCGGTTTCATCAACATTAGTACTTTGTTGCAATTACTCGTGTACCTAACTTAGATGGGCGGGACTAGTTGTCACAAGTGTAGCACGTGGGCCATCACGTCACAGCCGACGTGCTCCCCCAGCACTCAAATATGAATTAAACAGTTAATGATCGCTGATATCGTCGCAGACGCCGACCGCTCGTCTCGTAGTCGGTTGCGTAGCGATAGTTTTTCTCGCGTCGCGCGTCAGTCGCGTCACAGGGTGAGATCGCGCGGAAGCGAAGGTTGCGCCCGTGACCGCGCCCGCCCGCCGCCGCCGATAACGGCCACCCGCCGCAGTCGCGCAGTATCGCGCCGCGCTCGCTGATCCTCGGAGCTCGACCCCCGCGCGGAGCCCGCTCGCAGCCTGGAGCACGAGGACCCTGTGTAGTGATGTGTCCGCGTCCATGCCGCCGATGATGTGTGGGCGGCAAGTGAGTGAAGTGAGAGTATGCGCGCGAGGTGACGCCAGGCCCCGGCCGACGCGACCGTAGCCCGACATGTGGACACTGCTGCTGCCGCTGCTGGCGGTGGTGGCGCTCGCCTCAGGGGCTGCCTTCACTCCCGACAGGGACTTACTTGAGTGTGCGAGGTTCGTTACTGAACAATGCTAATAAACACTCTGATCATGCCACGATAAGCATTCCCATATAAACGAGTACCCACGAAAAATGTTATCGTCAATCGCAAATTTCTGCTGGGACCTAGAAATGAGCTACCGAAATAATTTTAATGGGCACGCAATATATTATGACACGGCCTGCCCATTGTTACCTCGTACAGCTACGTAACTATTTGTGAAACGTTGTAATTAATTCAGAAATATGTAATTTAATTATGTGGGTGATTTGAAACATTCTACAATGTATTTTTTGTTTCTAATATAAAATACCTCATAAGTACACATTCGTACAGTCGAAACTGAAGAGAAATCCCTGAAACAAAGTAACAGTGTTATTCTATGGTGAACTTTTGTAAATAAATACCTAACAAAATGGTGTTTATTTAAGTTAATGTGCTTAAGATAAGACAATATGAGCAACGTCTCTAATCTCCCAGCAGCCTCTGCCGCTCCTTTAGATAAACCAAGACTCAGCGTTCCCATATAAATATAAATATCGCGTATGTACACTTGTGTATGTTGGTATAAATCTGGCAAGCGCACGAGACGCTAGACGGTTGCGCGCGCGTCGGTGTCACCGCCACGGCCGCGTCGTTTGGCAAGGCTAGCTGGCCACTAGGTAAACACTAACACATTACACACCACACACAGGTGGAAGCTCTGATTCCCGCCTAAACACACCATTATCTGTCAATACTGATGATGATTAGGATTTATCAGACAGCCAAAACAATTAGAAAGCCTTAGGTTAACAATTCCATCTTTGATGCACTTCAAATTCTTAAGAGACAAGTGTTATTTTAGATGTAAGTTAAGTATCCTAATATACATACGGCAACACTGACATAAGCATGGCTCTGTCACGTGTATTTATCTACATGAACTTTTTCATACAACTCTCAAGTTTAGTAATGAAATACTCATCATAATCTAGTTTGTGCTATTATCAACTATGCTGGTACACCAGATTTATTCATTTACCCTCCTGCTTAAGCCTAAAATTGATTACACATACCTAATTACATAGAACTAAGTCCTATCTTCACATAACATCACACCTTTTATCCCCGAAGGGGTAGGCAGAGGTGCACACTATGCCACTGCACAATTAAACACCCACTTTTCACTATTTATGTTATGAATCCCATGTAATAGGGGGTGAGTGAATTGCCATATACCGGGCACAATTCCAGACTCCGTGCTACTACTGAAACCTCTTGCCCGGCTGTCGCACTTGCGACCACTCGGCCAACGAGGCAGTCTGCTATATTCATTTTTTGTTATTCTAGAACTAACTTTCAATCAAAGTGTAGCTTATATATACATACATATATTATTCATCACAAGAACCAAAGATGTGACGTGTTAAATAATATAAAGAAATTCCCTTTCGCGTCTATCTGTACGAACGCGATTAACTCAGAAACCACTACACCGATTTTTGTACGATTTTCACCAATAGATAGTGTAACTCCTAAGTTATATTATTTTATTTTTGTAATTGTGACACGTAAAGCTAATTTTTTATGGCATAACCCGGTCAACGAGCAGACGGATCTCCTGATGGTAAGCAATCGGCATCGCCCATGGACACCTGGAACAGCAGAGGCGTTACAAGTGTGTTACCGCTTTGCAACTTTAATTTACATAATTCTAAGCATAAAATCCATTGTAAAAAGCCAACCGTAAAACAAATGAGAGAGTAGCGTAAAGAATATGCGAAAAATCACTGAAGCAGCAGTCTATTTTCCATTTCAAATATTGACGCCTTTCCTGAGACGCCTAGAAACCTCGATAAGACGGAAACTATCGTCCAATATCTAGAGCAAGCATCAACATGGGCATTCCATTTCCTGTCTTATAAAATGCACCTTCTTGCTATCATTTTGTTTACCATAAAAAAACACACTATTCTCTCAAAAAGTAGACTATTAAAACTTCGTTGTTGCAAAATATATGATGCTTTCTGAACATAAAGTTGTTCCCTATTACCTACACTACATGAAACTTCTGAAAAGATAATAATACCTCAAAGATTTTTCTATTATTCAGGTAACTTTTTACCTCACTCGATTTTAAAAGACAATCCTAGCAATAATCCATATTTTACTTCGAAAAGGAACTGAAATCAGACCATACCCCATTCGAAAGATTGGATCTCACACTTAGCATTCACGCTTACAGTTATTACACCTGCGAGCAACGATACATCCACAGTATTTCTTCAAAGACCATGAACCGTTGCGTGTGAAGGGAAAAGTTTAGTGCACTAAATAATCACAGACGTTGTTGTATTAGTAAACATTTCTAGGCTATTAATAACTAATATGTTTACTAAGATGCCTAGTACCTTAATCGTTAAAACCTAACGTACAAAAACAATGTATCCAGAACACTGAACTTTCAAAATTAACGAAATCAAAATTCTGAGGGTCATGTCAGTAATAAAATCTAATTCACTAATTGTTAAAAACTGTGAACGTGCCAAAAATAATTTCACTCGCACCTCCATCCGTCAACTGTAAGATAATCTGAATATATAAAACAATAACAGACGCGTGTAAAAACATTATGTATTGTTTTACGAGTTTTACACCTCTAAACTGCGAAATGTGCCAGTTATTATAAATAAAATTCACTAATTATTGCTGATGTTAACAATTTTGAAATTAATTTCATACCTTTGTTAGAAGTTTACTGACGTCTCTCTATCAACCCAGCTCTGATAGTTGGAATGAACTATCTTCTGGAACCCTTTAATCCAAACTTCTACATTGATTAACATCGCTCATACTTACTACTTACCGAGCGATCCATCACCACTAGTTTCTCTCATTGGTCGATCTATGTCATCATGTCTAAAGTTCGTAGTTACGGTTGGACGCAAATCTGGAACGTGTCTGTCGTCCTAACAAGAAACAAAGTTATGGATGTTAAATGCAAAGTAGGAACATAAATCTATCTTGGACGCAGTCAAGATTTGTTAGTGTCCAGAGAAATGACGTGAATCGAACAGCATCGTGTACATCAAATGTAATCCAGATAGCAACCTTGTCGAAGAAGGCACTAATGACCTATTGACAACAATAGCTTTAGAGAGTGGCGAGCCAAAATTAAACCCGTTTATCACAGCTATTTGCGTCACTAATAACCCAAATATAACCCAAGTGCTCGGTTGCGGTAACTGTGACAACAAAAATAAACCCTTGCTCTGAATACCTCTTTGCATCGACTAGCATTGCGTCTGTTCGAGCGGCCGACTCTGTACGCCTGGTACAGCTCCATACTGCAACATAATCAACCTGTATATACAAGGCAATACATAATTCTACACCAAATTACATTATTGAACCGATTCAAATGTTGTGATTGGCCAAAATGTGTTTATATCGTGTAAATAGTGCAGTCAAACGAATCGTTTACCATTCAACAAACTTTGGTTATGAAGTAGCAATTTTGCTGGTGCTATTATGAAATGTATTTATAGATGAATTTTGCATCAGTCGACTTTTTCAGTCGTCATGTGATCGTAAAACATTGTACCGGACGTGACACGGTGTAATGACATGCAATTATTGTCTTTAAGAACCCCAACCATACTATTTTGCTGTTTTGTGTTATATATCAAAGTAGGCATTTTTCTCACGCAGTTAAGATGACCGTCATGAAGCTAATAGTACTTTCGACGATGGCAATGAAACTATAATCAGTCCATCAGTTTGGCTAACATCTACTCGGGTTGCGTTTAAAACTGTGGTCCTTCACATTCGCCTCATATTAAAGTTTCCGATGCCTCTTCCGCCGTTAAAGGCCAAAGTAAATATATTTAATCGGCGGCCGTCAATTTGTAAATAGGTATTGGAAAACGTATGATACATCTGCGTAGGTACATAATGTCAATTTATTATCAGGTAAAGAAAATTTTCCTAAAATAGTGAGATAGATATCATTCTTCAACAACTATTATTTTATAAAAATGGTATTTCTAATTGAGTATTAAAATACATAGCACTTTTAAAAAACAGCAATTAAAACTTAGATTATGAAGAAATTAAATAAATCGTTAATGGAGGTTGTGGTAAAATTATCATTTTCGTTCCATGCAAAATGGCAGTTAAACATTCTCTGTTCGAATTAAGGTTGCACATTACAATGGCTTCACAACTATAAAATAAAATAAAACAACAACACGAAAGATGATAAACTTGTAGAATATCTATTAACAAACAATAGAGTCGTACCCAGTATTGGAAAATATCCATTTTATAACACTTATTCAGTATCTATTGAAATGATAAAATAGGCATGAAGGCAATTAAGGTTTAAGGGCAATGAATTATTTGTATATATAAGTTAATTTATATATTTTTATACTTGATGACCTGCTCCCGTTTTGCAGTAACTTTTCCATTGCTGTTTTACTGTGATAAGATAAGAAGTGAATCAATGATTTGACAAAAATAATATCGAACACACAATAATATCTAAATTGGTACAGTCGTTCTCTAGCTATGAAAATTGAACATACAAAACTAGGCGATTTGGGCTAAGTTTTATTTTTACTTAGACCTTTAGTAAGCCTTGCAGTTCCATTAAACGTATGTATCTATCGTACGTATAGGTATATGTACTTTATTGATATCTATTTATTTAATTCATTATTTATCGGTTTTATTTTGTGTAAGTAAATTTTAATAATTTTTGTTTTTTTTTGTTCATACCATGTCTACACAGTGTCTTAGTTATTACTGTTTTTTCTGTCGAAGGACTGCAGGAAGAGATTCCTACGGGAACACGTAATACCTATGTACCTCCAATTTATTTATACATTATGTATTCTCCTGTGTACTGTCTGAATGTAGTGCATAAATTAATAAACAAAAAATAAACATTACCCTCCCCTTCTCCAATCTCCCCAATTCCTGAATACCCAACGATCCTCAAACTCCTAATCCCCAAAAGGCCGGTAA